CTCTCTCTCTCAAATAAATAAATAAAATCTTTAAAAAAAAAAAAAAATCCTTTCTCCCCTCCTTTCCTAGCTCATGGCTGCCCATTTCCCAACCTCCCCTGCAGTTGGATCAGGCCAGATGACTTGGGAGCTGATACATGAGAGACTCAGGAGCTTTATAGTTTTGGGTTTTTTTTTAAGATTTTATTTATTTATTTGACACACAGAGAGACAGCACAAGCAGGGAGACCGGCAGGGAGAGGGAAAAGCAGGCTCCCTCTGAGCAGAGCTGGACGTGGGGCTCGATCCCAGGACCCCGGGATCATGACCTGAGCTGAAGGCAAACGCTTAACTGACTGAGCCACCCAGGCGCCCCTACAGTTTGTTATTGTTGGAGCTTTTGTTACTGTAGCTTAGGCTCTTACTCTAATAGCCACTGCTTATGCCACTCTACGTGCGAGGCACTGCTGTTACATGTTTTACACATTTTAGTCTCCCAACTCTCTCAGAGCCAGAGTGCTCACCTTCCATGCCATATGCCGCCTCGGCAAAACACAAGAGAATCCTGGAATCCACAGCTTGTGAGGATGGTGGAATTGTACTTACTTTTTTCTCTTCTTCTTCCTGCAGCTCCCATCCCAGACGAGCTTTTTAGCCTCCCAGTTTGCAGGTAATTTAAGTCTTTTATCTTCCTCCACAACTTCCTGGTGATTTAACATTCGAGCTTCATTCTACTACCAGAACACACAAAGTTTGTCGGCACAGGTATGGAAACAAATCTAAATAGACATTACCTGTCTTCTTGTATGGCAGGCATCCAAAGCAGACCTTTGGATTTTATCCTGAATGGCGGAGAGCCACTAGAGAATTTTACGTGTGTATTCGTGTTGGGGGAATTTTATGGAGGGGGAGATGAGGAAGTCAACACCTATTCCTATAACTTTAAATATTCTTTTACTACTTTCAAGGAACCAGGTGGTAGGGATGGAAAGAGCTATGGTTTGGAAGTAAGAAGACCTGAGGGATATATGGACTTGACTACTCTCTGGCTGTGTGATGTAAGCAAGTCTTTTAGGACTGGATTGAAACAGGGCTTCCCACAGCATGAGTTCCACTGACTGGAGAGACTTGAGAGGATTTTAGATGCTACTGAATGACCCTGAGTCACACACTGAGAAGGTGATTCCATTTTCATATCTCTTTTAATTCAAATTGGGTCCAAGACAAATTCTGAGCAACTAATGGGTTTAACACTTCTGAAAACACCTTTCCTAACACCTCCTTTTAAAAACAAATAGGGTAGGGGCATCTGGGTGGCTCAGTTGTTAAGCGTCTGCCTTCAGCTCAGGTCATGATCCCAGGGTCCTGGGATCGAGCCCCACATCAGGCTCCCTGCTCCGCGGGAA